CTTCCCTCTATGAAAACTTTATGCCTTTCCATCTCTTAGAGTAAAAATTATAGAATTGTACACTGACGATTAGTTGTTATTTAGATTGTTTTGTTTCTGTTTTATTATTGTTTCTATTCATTTGTTTGTTAGTATAGTTTTTGTTAATGTATATGTAGTTTATATATAGTTGTTGTATATGACTTTATATACTATGCATACTGTATATGACGAGAGTTGTTCTGAAAAGCAGTTGTACTGAGAAACGCTTGATCAATTTATTTTTATTTATTTAAAAATGTAAAAACTAATATATTTTCTTAAATTTTTATGATCAATAAAACCAAACATTGACACCAATAATTTGGTAGTGCCTTCTAAAAATGCATTACTTTTACATGGCTTTAAAGTACTGTATATTTTTAGACACTTCCCCTCCACCCCCACCAACGTAGTTGTTCAACTTACAGCTGGTTTGGTCACGCACACGGAAATTGTTCCTACTGTGTGCTTCCTACGCGAACTGAACTTGTCCTACTGAAAACGTAGTCAAATACAAACATCTTCAAAACAACAGGAGGGTAAGAAAAACGCGTACTAGATGGACTGTTAGCCAAAATTACTGCATTGATCGGAAAAATGCATCCTCAAAAAAGGTTTGAGGGAATTTATCTTTCTCGTATAAAATACCACTGGTTATACGAACAAAGACTGTTATTAAATTAGTTCGTGTAAATATGTCTTATGATGATCGTATCGTATTATTGTCATATTTAATCATTTCATCAATTAACATAGCATTGTTGTAAAAAGCAAGTTCAACAAAGAAAACAGCTGATTTAAACGAACATAATAAATGGTGAGGAAATACTAACGCGCATAGTGGAGACTGATTGAGAGCAAGTAAAAATCATAAGATGGGGTTTTTTCTCTAAATTAGAGCTTAAGAGACGATTATTTTCTTTGATACAAGGTTTCATAGAAAAAAAGTTACTGTGTTAAAGTACGGAGTGATGAAAAATTTTACCAATTAAAATATTAAAATTCAACACCGGCATTGTTACAACGATTTCAAATCTATTTTAAACTAACCAGCTAGCCATGAAATCAACCTACTGTACGAGTACATCAACAGCTGTTGGTAGATCATACAACACATGTGGCTTTATTGAGGTTATAATAAACATATGGATATACTGACCAAATACTGGTCTAATGGAATTTACCTCTGATTTCGCCACCGAGAAAGGCTTGACGCCTACTATAAATAAATGTAAACCACTCATCTATCACTACATTTAAACATTCCTTCACAGTAGATAAACAATTTGGATATTTGAAATGACAACGGGTCTATTAAGTAAATTAATATGTCCGCAATATTCCGGGTTTGAAATATTTGTTACCTGTAAAACCCTTGTCATGTAGCAGTCCCTAGTGTGCAAAATTACTCGGTATTCGAGACTCCAACTGTCTACCATTTTGAAACGTAGTACAACCACCAAGGTATTTACAACCCCTAAAGTCATCGTAATCGTGCATTAAATACATGAATATCCCTACCACAGCAAACCTACAAAACAAAACTAATTTCCATTTGCCTGGCTCCATTTTCACTTAAATATTTCCTTAAAATTTTCAGATTCAATTCCTATTTAAATAATAACTAGAGGACCCATGCTGCTCCACACAGCGTTAAAATAAATATCACATCGGTGTAAAATCAAATATATGATTTTTGATTGAGCAATACAGTAGGCCTATCTTGAGTTTAACTGATTCAAACGTTCAATAGCTCAAATTAAAGCATATAACTTACTGATTATTTTGAGTAAAAAAAAAAACATAAACAATACTGGAACTAAACTTATTGATTTTTAATCGTAGAAAACCCTTATAATAAAAATAATTTGTATGATGGTTGATCACCTTGCGTTTGCTTTAAACTCGTCCGATTTAATAACTAATAGCTAAAATGGAAGCCGGCATTTCACTGAAGGTTCTTAGACGAAAATAAATTAGCCTATATAATTATAACTGGTGAAATACATCTTAAAATGAAGTAAGAATTTGAAAATAAATCAAATTTATGTTTTTGGTCGAGTAATATAGTATATGAATATATGCCGATGCTTGATGTGTAATCTGTGCTTGCATACCTTCAATTTGAGACAACAATCATGAAAATCGATCGGGTAGAAGAGCCAAACGAACTTGAAAAAGAAATTTAACTCTCATAAGAAATACATGGGGAGCAAATTTCGTTTACGTATAAGCCGAGCGGGACTGTAGATAAAAATGTATGCCGATGCTTGATGGAAAATCTGTGCGTGCATACCTTCAACTTGAGACCTCAATCATGAAAATAGGTCGGGTAGAAAAGCCAAACGAACTCGGAAAAAACAAGTTTTTAAAATATATAAGATAATTGTAATGAGTAGGCTACTTCGGTTTTCTGCTCCTGGAAAATAAAGTGTGTTTTCTCAAACTTTAATAACTTATTTGCTCAACATATATCTCCAAACAATCAAACTACAAACATCGACTATAATATTACAACTGTGTATTTATTATCTACAACAATTAGGCTACATGGACATTTCAAATTTCAGTTTTTAAATTTTCTCATTTACCATTAGGCGTACAAAAACACTTTAACGTACTCAATTTTTTGTTTTTAAGATCTTAAATTTAGAAATGAAATGAAAAAGTACTTTTATTTACAAATCTTAAAGAAATTTAAGATCTTAAATTTAGATTCAAACGAAAAAGAGCAAACATTGGGTCATTGAGAAAATTAATCATAAACCCCCGTTTCCAGTCGAAGCAAGTTCAAACTAGCTTAAACAAAGATGATTTACACGTTTGAGCTGAATTTAATAAAAATCTGTTGAGTTATCTTGTTAACGGACAGTTTTTTATGAATGCGATATGAATGCCCTCTGAGGACATTAAAAAGAAAAAAAAATAGATCGGTACCGGGTATAGTTCTTACCTCGAGATCTACTTAGCTCATTCCCTATCTACGAAATTCCCTAAATAGTACTACGCTAAATTATTTTAGTGCACATTTAATATTTAAAGTGCAATCCAACTTTACATCCCAATGACGAATGTTGTGTCTGTGTACAGTAAAAACGGGTATTCTTTACCCCCCCCCCCCCCAGTGCGACTGTGGGGGGGGGAGGGGGGAAGGGGGCCATCAGCGATGTGAGCCTTTCATACTTTAGAGTAGACAAAGCATCCTTGTCATTACGGGGCCACTTGTCTTTATGTATGTTTCTTTGAGTGTGCTTGGGGCTTACGCGACAATACAAGCCCAGGTTGATACCCTGGACATAGCTAATGAGATTGGCTGTGACTTTTAATTTCACTTTTAAAATCGAACATTTAGTTTTTATATATTTTTACTAAGGAAGAAATTTTAACGATTTCCAGAGGTTAAAGTACTTTTCCAGTGTTTTTACTTTCAAACTAATATTTGTTGATAAAATATTGTAATCATAAATTGGGAAAAATGATAACGGGGTCTATAATAATTAATTTTTCTTCAGATCTGTATGAACACTCAATTATGTCAGACCTACTGCAAGTACAAGCAGATTGTGGAATTAGGTTACGAGGTTCTCATATACATACTTTCCTATTATAGACATAGTATTAGTTTGAAATATCCTGGTAAAATCATTCCGAGCATAATTTATTAGTTTTACTGATTTGTCGTGTTCACCATTAACGATTAGGTTTAATTTACAATGATTTTAGAATTTTCGTTGCCAATAATTTGAAGGTCACGACTTTTATTTCATTTTACATTACATTTAATATTTAGATTGAGTAGTTAGATCAGCAATTTCATCTTTCGTTGTTATAAAATATATTTTTCACCACACTATGATGTTTTTGGCTGTATTACATACGTTAATTGGAGGCTGAAAGTTACGTTTTGCTGGCCATGCCAGCTGTCATCGTAATTTTGGGACCGAGCAGGTTTTTACAGGCCGGGGCCGCAAAATCAGCTGTCCGCTTACTTACTTAATGAATGCATTTTAAATACACAATCAAAGTACATTGCATTGCAATAGAATTTTGTCACTGTTGCCTAGCAATTATTTATTTTTATTTTTGCTGATTCCTCAAATTATTTCTTCACATAACCTTAAAGTTGTAGTTGTGTTGACTATCAGTGTGCATTATTATAGTGGTGAATAGTGGTAATAGGAAATAGTGTGGTGAAAAATAGCGTTCGAACCACGGACCGAAATGGTTTTGCAGCTCTCGATCGATTTAAGTTCTCGACTTCGTCTCGAACTTAAAACTATCTCGAGCCGGCAAAACCTAATTTTCGGCCCTAGGTACGAAATATACTATTTCACCACACTATGATGTTTTTAGCTGTTTTACATACGTTAATTGTTGGCTGAAAGTTACGTTTTGCTGGCTATGCCAGCTGTCATCGTCATTTGGGGACCGAGCAGGTTTTTACATCCCTAGGGCTGCAAAATCAGCTGTCCGCTTACTTTTTTAAAACATGAATGCATTTTAAATACAAAATCAGTATCACCGTTGCCTAGCAACAATTTATTATTATTTTTGCTGATTCCTCAAATGATTTCTTCACATAACCTTAAAGTTGTAGTTGTGTTGCTTGTTAGTGTACATTCTTATTGTGATGAATAGTGGTAATAGGGTATAGTGTGGTGAAAAATAGCGTTCGTACCACGGACCGAAATGGTTTTGCAGCTCTCGATCGTTTTAAGTTCTCGACTTCGTCTCGAACTTAAAAACTATCTCGAGCCGGCAAAACCTCTTTTTCGGCCCTAGGTACGAAATATACTATTTACACAAAAATTGCTTCTGGGATACTAAGTCAATTACAAAACACATAATTCATTCAATTACAGACTGTCTGTATGGCTGTATGTATAGTGTATACCTAGCTGGCGCTGTACGTTTGTCAGGGTTTATGTAGAACAGAAGATGCACCCATTGCAAGTCATAGACGTATAGAGTAGTCCTACCTGAGGAACAGATCCACCGGAGCGCGGGGCTGGCGAGGAGGGCGGCAGACTCGAGGGTGGGCTATCACAGTTGGTGGGCGGCAGTCGGAGCGTCTGCAACAGAAAACAGCTGTTTTAACATCAAGTGTGTTAAATGTGTGATGCATTAACTTGAAAATTTCTTAAAACAGCTGGTTGATATTAGGAATTCCTCAAGAAGCGTTCAAATATCAATCGATGGCAGTTAGGCCTATATAACTCGGAAAACAGTCTCTTGAATTCACAGTTACGTATCAGCTGGCTCTTATCACAATTTCAATGTGTTTAATGGTAACCACGGTTACCATTAAGCTAACCACTAATGTTAACATTAATCATTAAGCTGGTCAGATTTAAGCTCGCCTTTAAATCTGAAGATCTCTGGTTCGATCCCATTCTGGATCCATTCTTGGCCCAGATGTTGTTTGTCATCAGGCTATAAATTAATCAATCTATATAAGAATCTATATAAGAAATCTATATAAGAAAATATTGACATTAGATACAAGGCCGCAATTTCAACCGTTCTCTTGAGAAAAAAAAAACAGTTGCGTAAAATACTCAAAATACAATAAAGCAAAATCATGAAACATTAATTATACTTTAATACTTTACTTTGAAATGGTGACCATACGAATTTAGGTATTTAAAAAACTACATGATGAATGTAGATGAATGGATATGAGTGTAGGATGAGTATCTTGTAGTCTTGTTGGTGACTAAGGCCGACATATTCCTTAGACACAGCTGTTAATTAATAGCCCATACAGCCAATGGCAAGGGACCTACAGTTTATAGTGGAATCCGAACCACATTTTTGCCTTGTAAATAAACGAAATTGTGTAATTCTCAGGATAGTACTGCGGATAGTCGTAGTACTCACTAGTGGGAACGTTAATCCAAACCAGGGAGTATCTAATCCACAGTGCAAGCCTATAAATATCCACAATGTTCACTATTCCACTATGTTTACATCCATGCTGTAATAATCACAGATATGTCTTGGATTAAAAAAATCTCCAATTGTACAGATAAGTATTAAAAATATAAATTTTTACTTCAAATGACATACTATACACTCTACTAACTCCACGGGTTTAAAAACTTAATTGCAGACACACATTTTATGACACAATCTCGCAATAAATTTTTTACAATCCGAATGTTCCGGTTTTCCAGTAATTTCGTCTTGTACGATCCTTGGGTCTCGTAGAGGAACTAGAGCGTGTCCGGGAGGAACATGAGGGTCTGTGACACTCGAAGAGAAAAGAAAGCAATTAACAGTGAATCAATGTCGTAGTGGTGACATTCGCGGCCCACTAGACCTGGAGACATTGAGTCTAATGGACCGATGTTTCCTGGGCCTTGTGTTGTATGCTGGGCCGCTATAGTCCTCGCCACCCTAAGTTGAGGCAGCCCAAGGCCGCACGGCGTGTATCTAGTGCGGCCTTTGTCTGCCTCATAGGGTGGCGAGGACTATAGGGCCGCTGGGGTGAGGTAGGAAGGAAACTGAGGGCAACATTGGGTGTGAGTGGTTAGCGTGTCCTGGGTGTGAGAGGCGCTGGTTTGGTTTGATTACAGCACATCTGCAAACTATATAGAAGATTTCTCTTGAAATTGTTTAGTTGAAGAGTCTTACAGAATCCTATTTCATACAAATATTAAAAAATCACTAGAATTGGCGACTCTTGGGTTGGGGATGGATCTCGTAGCTTTATATACGAATGAGAGACAAAACGGAACATCATGTAATCCAATGTGGGTATGTCATTAACTGAGCATATTTGGGTCGAACCCTATATTTCAATAGTCTACCTACAGTGAGATTTTAAAATGTCTGTTTGTGTATTTTTGTACTTGGCCTTTTGGCAAGTCCATAAGACATGCAGACGTTCTTTATTGTATTTTGAACGGAACTAAGTTGGTTAGAATTTTGTGTGGTATGTTGACTTGAAGTAACATTTAACGTGCAAAAGTAAGAAACAACTTCAAGGGATCATATGGAACACTTAACTGTTACCCTAAACGAGAAGCTACTTGATCAATAATTAAATCGAACCCAAATATTCTCGCCATATCGTATTGAGTGTTTTCCAATGTAAATTCCATATAAATATCATAAACATGGACAAGTGTTCTGTTATATTTTTAAACCCCCTTTTATGGTTCCTCTTTCATCCAAAGAGAGTAGTACAAGCAGCAGTTCTGATCTCACAGATCTACATCCATATAATACACATCTCTTTATATATCTTCATGTAAAAAAAATTGAAAAGGAGTGAAAGCTATGGTATACCACTAAATGCCCAATTTCAAATATGAATTTAAGTGATTAATAACACTTTTACATAGTTGTAAACTTTTAGACAATCTTTATGACATTTTCACACGTTTTCAAATTTACGCTGAAAGAATACAGAACGTTCCTCTCACCGAACTAGCAAAAAAAGTGAAATATTGATGTAAAAAAAAACACACATATTTCAAACCTGTCCCATTTTTACCAAACAAAATAAGTCGGATTTTAAAACTGCTTCTCAACCAACCGAAATCTGCAACACATTTTACCGAGCAAGATTGATAATCCGGGTAAGGAGGAGGGACAAAGTAAGAGAAAGAAGACGATAAACCCAAAGAAGTGTTCCGCTGGGACGAAAACGCGCCAAGTTTCACTTCATTATAATAAAGCTCCCATGCGAACATTAAATATATGACGTAACCATCACTCTACTAGACACAGGTGCTTCGTCACTTTGTTTTTTACCTTCTGTGAGATATTTAACTACAGTATATTTCGAGTTTTTGGAACAGAGGTAAGTTTATAGTTCAAACTAAAAGATTTAGGATAAGATTCACGTAGATTAATCGGTGCTTAGAGGTTGTAGGTTCTTGGTTACATATTTTTAAGGGGTCTAGTTCTTTTGGAACATAGAACAAAAATATTTTAACGGGTTGTACATTAGTTTCTTTTTGTGGAACATAGAACAATATTAACATTTTGTATTCATCTAGGTTTTAAATGTTGAAAAGTAAGAATACATTTTAAATCCTTTTGCCTAGAGTAAAGTTGTGTTTCGTTTCCAGTTTTGGAAGAAAATAGCTGATGATTGTAAGGGTTATTATCTTTTTCCATGCATTTACTATTGTAAATAAAAATTAACAATAATTCTTTGTAGGATAAAACACTTTGATTGAACCTCTCTCGAAATAACATGGGAATTCTGTCATTAAAATGTCAAACTTGTACTGACATTCAAGACACTATTAACAAAATACATCCTTTAAAATTACAACAGGTTTTGAAAAATGTATTCAAACTTAAGAGGGTTCCCTACCCCCATTGAAAAACGTCAGAAAACCGCTTCGCGCGGTATCATATAGCGATTCTAGTTTTGACATTTAAATTGTGAACCAAACACCATTTTGTACATAAAGAGTGGTTCTACTAAGTTTGCTTTTTAAAAAATGTCTATGCTTACGCAATCAAGGGCAACGACTTGTCAAAGTTAGTGAACTTTACAGTTAAAGTTCACTAACTTTGACAAGTCGTTGCCCTTGATTGCGTAAGCATAGACATTTTTTAAAAAGCAAACTTAGTAGAACCACTCTTTATGTACACAATGGTGTTTGGTTCACAATTTAAATGTCAAAACTAGAATCGCTATATGATACCGCGCGAAGCGGTTTTCTGACGTTTTTCAATGGGGGTAGGGAACCCTCTTAATAACCCGATAATGTAGCGTAGTAATAATCGATAAAGTGTTATATAAGTAAGTAAGTATGAAAGTGTGAAACAACCTATTAAGAATTGTTACAGAATAGCAAGAAAAGATATAGCCTTACCAAGGGACATGGATCATTTATTTCATAATTAATTGAATAACAAATAAATGTATAATTTATATATGGTTGTTGTAGGGTTGTAACAATCGATATACAAACACCAACTTTAAAAACACCACTACCTAGATATTTATTAATTTTAGTTTTTGCTTTTTAAAATTATTAATTCGTATCTTTATATCGCTTTGCTACAAATTAAGTATTTTCTAAGTGTATTGATCTACGTAAGTTATTATGATCAACCTAACCTTGAATTGATGCATTTACATGTAATCCTTGTACTTTTAACTACGACTCAGCTCAACTATGTTATAGACAGGACCAAGGGCATGTAAACCTTGTACCCGTTACATTGATTTCACCAATTTATACAGAACCGAGAAACTTACCGTATATGCTGGTGAAGCATATTGAAATCAAACCTCCATCTTAGGCTCGGATATTTTTATTATGATAAAATTAGGATGTTCTGACACATCACTGTTTTATTTGATTACTTTTAGCTACTTTACCTCAAATGCTATATTTAAACATTTTAATTAATTAGCTAACCCTACCCTTTTTAGCGAATTCCCCTATAGGGAAGTAGCTATTACCGTAGGTCTCATGGTAAGACTTGAGCCCGGGACCGATTTAATTTTCATTTTGATGTTCCCAGAGGCCAAAAGCACTATTAGTTAAAATTTTTACACTATATATATGTCTGTAAACGCGAAATTTTTGTTAGATTTTGATGAAATTTGGTTTGAAGGTGTAAGGTAGGATAAACTTGAACGATTTCGCGAATCAGCATGATCGGACCATGGGAACGAGGTTTTACGGAAGGTTTATGGGGTAAAAATGGGGTTTTCTAATTTTTAACCATGTCCCTATTGCTCTGTAGACCATTTTAAAAAGCAGAAAAAGAAAAATAATTTAGTATATTGAAGTGCTTATGTACGGTTATTGGTTACGGAGGAAATTAAACAAATTTTAAATTTAAAATTCCTACTTAATTCTTATGGAGAATATTGTAAAATGTTGTAGTCTGCTTGTTTATGGATATATTTTTATCAAACTTGGCAAATTTATTTTTTGTATACTAAGCTATATATATAAAAAAAACACTCTTTATTAGCCTCACTGCAGCAGCAAACCCAGGTACTCGTTTAACCTAATATTATTTAAATAGATTTAATTGTATATCAATTCAGGCAAATGGAAATTCGCTTAGTCTGCAGGTTTGCTGCGTT